AAAAAAAAAAAAAAAAAAAGCATTAGAAAGGAGAGAGTGGTCATCCTGAAATACCCAACCTTTCCCGTTCCCAAGCTCCTCTGCAATTGCTGGACACCAGTATTCGTAGTATTTGGTACTAGTTTAAGAATAGCTCTTTATAACAGTCACCATCTTCAAGGATGTTAATTTAAAAATTTTAAGAATGCTTTTAGATGAGTTTACCAGGCTGTAAGTGTGAATGATGACCAACATGGGTACCTTTTTTTTTTTCTCTTCATCATGACCAGTCTACAACTGCGATAATAGACCAGGATGAATTTTTTCTTTCTAACTTTTTCTTTTCTCATCTTCCAGATAACTATTATCTTTAAATCATACCAAGACTGTACAGATCAGAAGGTATACCAGGCAGTGACTGATGATTTACCAGCAGCTTTTGTAGATGGAACAACAAGTGGAGGTGATGGTGACACCAAGAGTTTGCGCATTGTGGAGAAAGTCAGTGGCAAATACGTGGAAATGCATGCCAGGTACATTGGGACAACGGTGTTTGTGCGCCAGCACGGGCGCTACCTTACATTGGCTATTCGTATGCCAGAAGAGCTGGCCATGGCTTACGAAGAAAGCCAAGACCTGCAGCTGTGTGTGAATGGTTGTCCCTCAAGTGAACGTATTGATGACAGTGGCCACTTACCATTGCCTGTCATGGGGCAGCTTCCTCCTCATGCAGGCTCCACTCAGCCCCGCTCTGTGTACACACTGGAGAGTGCCACTACCAAATGCCACGAGAAGATGTTAGTGAAAGACATCTATTTTTACTCATGTGTCTTTGACCTGCTCACTACTGGTGATGCCAACTTCACAGCAGCAGCCCACAGTGCCTTGCAGGATGTAGAGGCACTGCATCCCAGGAAAGAGCGCTGGCACATCTTCCCTAACAACGGAACCAGTGGCTTTGTCAAGGGAAACAAGTTGTCTGTTAGTCTTGGACTTGTGTGCTTGATCCTAGTTGCATTTTTGTAGGGTTTTTGTCTATAACAAAGTTTTAAAATATATATTGTCATAATATATTGAGGTAAAAGCTAAGAGTATATATGTATATACCATGTATATGAAGGGATGTTTGTCTTGGGACGCCCACCAGACTGTACATATTGTGTTACTGTTTTCACATACGTTGGATGTAGTATTCTTTGTATCAATTTTGTTTTGCAGTTGGTGAAATGTTTTATAATGTCCCTGCGTTGGGATCTGATAGAAAGCACTTTATTTTTTATATATTAAATATTTATGTGTTTCTGGGTCATTATGTATAATACATAGACACATGTACATACACCACAACCAGTGGTCCCTCTAAGCGTTACCTACTTCTACAAAACCTTTTTTATATTAATGCCTTCCAGTGGGTGTTCTTCTTTCCATCCTTAATTACTCTCAAGGCTATCACTCATTTTCTCTTATGAAAAAGGTGGTATCTTACTGTTGGCTCTAGTTGGATCATTCAAAACCCAATCTTTATTCTGTCTGTGAAACAGAATATCTTTTCTCCATTGCATTAGCGAAAACAAAACTTCCCCTACTAACATTAAAGAAATCAAGGCTGACTGCTAATGACTCTTATAAAGCAGCTATGATGTGGGTAGAACAGACTTGGTAGCTGACCCCTTGCACGCTAATTTCATAGCATGATCTTTTGGAAGTTGCTGTTCCTAAATTAATACTATTGGTTTCATTCCAATGCATTTGTGCAATAGGGATTGTTTAGCTACCTTAGCTCCAGAGGAGCACCTGATACTTTTTAAAATCATGTGGGAAAAGTAGTTATATCAGAAGGTGCCAGATAACTTCTTCTGTTTTAAGCATCCCTGTTATGGCACCTCTTTTTTTTTCCTGAAGTAACTTCATAATGCTTTGAGCATGATGTAGTTGGTTGACAGAGTTATTGTTAAGCAACCTGTAAACCACACTTTTGTTTTGGGTGGTAGCACATAGAGGTAAGGCCTCCCACTCATATTCTCTACACAAAAAAGGAATAGAGTTGATACTAGCCATTGATTCAATTTAGTGCCTTGAATTATGGCAACAAAATAGCACAGCTCTAGTATATAAAGATTATTGACTTTTTTGTTTTTTAAAAAAAGACTGACACAAAAACATGCTTGGGATGGTAACAGGTCAGACCTGTTTCTGTTCCATCTTTGGAAAGAGTTTATATGAGATTAGTGGATTTCTGCCATGTGAATAACACATTCAAACACTCTTTTCTTCTGGCATGATAAAATTCAGTACATAAACTTGATGGAGTTGCTCATTTGGGTAAAGAAGGTTTTATGACTTTAAGAACCAAATAAGTGTAATTTTGCATATAATGTCTAAATAGCTTCAGGACTATCAGTTTAGCATTTTGCAGAGGTTTGCTGATGGCAGAGAAACCAATTAACTCCTTCCTGGAATGGGTGAAAGATGCAATACCTGCATTGACCTAAGAGGTTCTAAAAAATATTTGGTTTGGCTACTCAGTGTGGAAGACCAACCAATAATACATGCTAGAGCATTATAGCTAATCCATTTGCTGCCTACTTTCCTGTTTTAAAACCTTTCAGGTTAACTCAGTCCAAAAATGACTGCTAGTAATCTGAGTCCTGGTCTAAAGTAGAACTGTTTTGCTACTTAAAACATTGCAAAGAGATCTCCATATTTTGGATGGCTGAATTTCCCCATTAGTGGATAGAGTTTAAACTTGTTGTGGATGAATTTTGGGGAGCAAAGCTAGAATTTCTGCTCAATGCAAGCACATAGTAAATGATGTCTGTCTACTACTTAATTTCCTGTGTCCCCAAATCCCATGCGTATACCTAAACAAATATCCAAGAGGCTCACAATTAGATAAGTAATATTTCAGAAATATAGTACTTCCTTTAAGGAGATTTCATTTTCTTGTTCCTGCTGTGGGAATTCTTGAGAAAATGTTATTTGCACATGTTGGTTCTTGAAGCCCACCATAGCCAAGAGAGCTTTAGTTAATGCCAAACATATGGATATTTTGAAGCTAGTGAATGGTCTCTGGGGAGAACTTAAGCTTAGAGGGAACACTGGTTTTCACAGACACACCAAATGGCTGTCTTTTAGAAGGCTTCAAATTTTATTTTTATGCTTGGAAACCCCACGATGTGTCAGTCTTTGCAACAACCTTTTAGATGTGGTTCATGGATATACCAATAAGTATATGTTTGTGTAAAAGAGTGACTGTGCAGTGTGTAAATACTTTAAATTATTATGATAGAAGAATAAAAGTTACATACCATGCTGTGGAATGTTTGTAATGTGGTGTTGGTGACCCCTGGTGGATATACAGAAAATCTTTGTGGTCATGATGGTGAGAAGGGGCTAGCAATCCCCAAACCAAAAGCCCCATGTTTTGTTTTCAGTCAGTCATTTGCTGTGCAAGAATATACTGTACACAATCTTCATGCTCACTTGCAGACCCTTATTTACCTCTTAGAAAATGAACTGTGTAGTGAAAATTATGATAGTAGCTGCAAAAGCATTCAGTTTTATTGAGTGGATAATGTATAGGAAGTGATTTCAGGGAACATCTAATCACCATCCAACTTGTGGAGATAGTTGGCAAGTTGTAGATACAGTGGTCTCCTTTAGCTGTTTCTGTTTCGAGAGAGATTAGAAAAAAAAAAAGAACAGTATTCCCTGTTTCAAGGATATGTGATATCCCTCAGACCAGAAACACCCTTGGAAAGAGAATTCACCACTGTAACTGTAGACGGATGTGAAGATTTAAAGAATGCAGTGCTGACTAGTACACAAGATTGCAGGACTCTTCCGCATATTGCAGATTGCTAAATATGCATGGAATTGTTGATTTTTAGCAGCCAAGAGTGACAGCATTTTTTAAAACCTTCTGTTTTTAAATGTGTTCTATTTGCATAAGGGATTAATATTTTTGATATCCCTTTCCTTCTGCTTGCTGTAATTGGATTTAGTGATAAATAAATGGCAGATGCCATATTAAAAAACTTATACAAGCTAATACCTGTAAGTATATGGAAAATATTCAAAATCTAAATGTGTGCTACTAGTGCATACACGGTATCACACGAGTTGTTTCAAATGTGCTGCCAGTGTTTGAGAAGACAATACATGATATATTTTAGTTTCCATAATAGTTACTGTACTATGATGAAGGTATCTTTTCCCTGCCATTGCATGTTTTTAATTTTTAAAATGTTTATCCAAGAACATTGCTATAGATTATACTAAATGACTTATTCTGTGCCATTTGTTACTATGATGTCCCCTTTTACAGCATCATGCGCATGATGAGAGAAGTATCTCCATTTTACAAATGAAGAAACCAAGGCACAGAGACTGAGGAACATAGGAAGCATGTAATAGCATCAAACAGATAATATTAGATTTACAGTCCTAATCTAGTACCTTTTTTTTCCTATGGACTGAATTTGGCACACTGGGTACAGAATGGGGCTCCTGTAATATAAATGAATTTTATAATCCTCCTTGTCATTCAAATGGCCTATCGAACGAAAACAATCCCTCTCCTTCCTGCATGTTCCTTCGCAGAAAACCTGGGGTTGCAGTCTGCATATTGCAAGACCTGGCCAGAGGTTGTGGCTCCATTAAGACTACTGGAAAAGCAAACTCTGAGAGAGTATTTCCCTAAAACCATCTCGAGCCCAATGTTAATCATGCACCTTCTGAGCATTAAAGAATGTTATCTATCTAGTGCTCAGATACCTCAATGAATTGATTTAAGTTATTCAGTAGTGTTTACTTGATCAGTTTTCTTAATATTATGCTGCTAAATTCTCTCTGCCTGATTTACATTTATAAAGAGAAGAATGCATCAGCGTTGTTCATCAAATATTTTGTATTATTTAAGTCATTTTGAAAGCAGTTCATACAAAACAACATAAGTGTCATCTAAAACTGTGCACAAATTCATTGTAATGGTGACAGGAAGATAGTTGCATCTGATCTGATTTCAGAGTTTATTGAGCTTTAAAACTGTTGATTAGTGAATTAAATATGACAATTAAGATTGAATAGATACTTTTGGAGATGCACACCAGGAAGCTACTGACTTGATAAGTAACCAAAGACATCTCTGAATAGGATTGATTTATTTTTTTATTTTTTATTTTTTATTTTTTTTTACCGATAGGTGTTAGTTTAAATATTAATCAACTACTATGCAGTTTCCATTTTGTTTTGTACACAATCGCATGTCACTTCACACATTACTGAAAGCATTAAAACTAGATCTGCAAAGGAACATAGGCAGCTAACTGCCACTTGAAGTACTTGTGTTCAAACTTTAAATAATGAAAACCTCTGCTTAACTTTTTGATAAACCTGGGAATTCCTAAATTCCCTGGTTACAAAACTGGTAGATGCATGGGCACCTACATTTGTGCTGTTCGACAAGGCACACAACCACCCACGTCCTGATGGGAATTAGCTCAGTCTTCTACAAGACACTTCCTAAAAATCACATATGAGGTGGTTTTACCTACGAGGCCCAGTCTGATAGGTATTATCAGAATGGGTCTTTTGCGTAGATGTGGCATGGAGGAGATACTAGGCTTCCTCAGAGGTAGGGACCTACTTAAACAGTTTTGCAATTTTTGCAGAAACTGAAAAATGGCAATCTCTGTGATCACCGCACAAAGTGGTATTGGCTTTCCCAGGAAATTAACAACAACAACAAAAATTCTGGCTCCCCCAATGGCAGCCAGCAGTCTACCCTGTTGCTGTGGCCCAGCCTCGCAGCCTGTCTGGGAGGGGAAGGTATGGGTTTGCAGGGTGGTACAGAAGGCAGTAGCCAAGGTGGTGACTGTCCCCTTGTGCCTCTCTGCCAATCAATGTTGAGAGGCAGGGCCATACAAAGGGCAGCCAGCAGTCAAAATGGCAGCTGCTCTGTTGTGCCACCTCCCCTTGGGGCCTCTCCAATTGGTGCCAAGAAGCAGGGCTTCTCCATCAATCAGTACTGAGGGATGGCCCACTGCAAATAGGCTCTTTGGGCCATGACCAAGCCTCAAAAATTGCACTCTCTCACCGCAAGTTAGTTAGGTCCCTACTTATAGTCCAGTGAATAGGAAGGGGTTCAAATTTCTCCTCTGTCTTAGTTAGAGCAAAGCTTAGATTTTTTTACCTCTAAGGAGAATGCTAACAACTGAGCTTCCTCCACTGAAACTGTTCCATGTTGTACAAATTAATCATTGAATCAACATGAGGACATAGGTGCCTAAACCAGAATTACAACTCAAAAACTCCTGCTCAGCAGGTACCTAACGTGCTAAAAATATGTTGTTTCATCTGGAAACTCTAGATGGTTACAATCTGCTTCTGCACATGCCCAGAGCTGCCCCAGTCTGAGCAGTGACCCATCTCTCTCTGGCCTAAGCCTCATTAGGAACTAAGATTCGCCCCACTTAAACCCTGGGTATGCTCACAAGTCTGAGCATACCCAATATGTAACTGAAGAATTGAGCTCCTTGCAAAATACAGTTGTGATCACCTTTTTA